GCTGATAGGATACTACTGCATGCTGCGGACAGGTGAAGTCCTGGGCTTGCTTTCAAGTCACATTGATTGTGCTAAAGGAGCTCTCCAAGCTGTTATCAGCTTGGGCTTCACAAAAGGAGGCAAGCGGCATGGAGCCGCTGAAAGTGTGGTGTTAGGGCTCGAACCGGTTGTTCGCCTGGTCAAGGAGTGGAAGAAGGGAGTGCCGGTGGGAGCACCCATGACTTCAACGCCTCCAAAGTGGCGACAGTTGTTCAACCATGCTTTAGAGAAGCTCGGGGTAGCTTCGTTCCAGTTTAGGCCATACTCGCTCCGGCGAGGTGGGGCCACTTTTTCTTCCAAAAGCACCAAAACCTTGATAGAATACTTGTACAGGGGCGTTGGCACACACAGAAAAGTGCCCGCCTATACCTCAATGAGGGCCTAGCAGTTCTGGCCCAGATGCGATTACCCCCACACGATTCGAGATTGAAGCCTTACTTGACCGTGTACAGGAACTTTCTCTTGCGCCCAGCCTTTCCCACACTTGAGCCTCCTGTCGGAAGAACAGGGGGACGTGGAAGGGGACCAATGAAAGCCATGAAGCGAAGAAAATGACCGTTCATTTTTAATTTTTTCCTGTCGACTATTGTCAGGGAACTGCGTCCACCAGTGGTTAGGAGGTGTGGCTCGCCAAATGTGGAGCAGTCAGGGGATCCCACTCACCCCGGGTGTGGCCGGGTGAGATGGGTCGCCCTCCAAAAAGGTAGGGGAACCTTTTGGTCTGACGTTTAGTCGACGCTTGTATTTGTTCCTTGGATGTTTTAATGTTGACAATATCGCTGCGAAGTGGATCAAAAGTGAGTTGAACGCTTCTTTATATATATATATATATGCATATAGTGTTGTTAGGGGGTAATAAACTTGTCCAGGGATGGCCGGATACTATTCTGAGCGTGGATGACATGCAGAAACAGCACCAGCAACCTATTTCACATGTCTCCAGGATGTGTTAAAGCTATTCCTGGAGATCGAAAAGGGGCCCCCTTAACGCAACCCCTATCATGTTTGCAGTAGTACGCGGCAGTCCTAGGGTTAGGGTCTGAGAATTCTTCATCGCAGGACTCAACTATGTTTTCATTGGACCGGATTTTGTGGGTCCGATGTTCTCAGCTGCAAGTAGATGAAAACTTCCCAGAAACCAGCAAAGGGAGGAAAAAGAAGCTGGTGTGTCCCTTAGGACCTGGCCAGGGTCTGGGGTGTGGCCCGCCTGGCCGGGGGGACGATTATCCGCGCCCCCTTCCGTGTGTCGTGGACCAAGAAGATCAAGAAGGGAGGGGGATAATCGACTCGAACTTTTGGGAGAATCTTGTTGTTCCCAACTTTTGTTATTTTGTGACATTTTGTGACAATATGGCTGCAGAGCGAACAGGAAAGAAAAGAGCTGCTGCTTACTTTATATATATATGGCATTCCCCTTTCAACCAGCTGATAGATTATTAACCAAAAGGTAGGTCTTGGGGGGGTGTACCACCACCCTCCAGAAAGTGTTCCAAACAACCATGTGGAAAGAGGTCTCAAAATATTATTCAAAAGAATGAACCCAAAATATCAGCAAAATACTGTAGCTTATGGTATAGGACACACTTTGGGTGCGTATTGGAGGGGGAGTACCATATATATACATATATATATATGTGTGTGATATATGTATGTATGTGTGCATGCATGCGTGCATGTATGTATGTTTGTTTGTTTGTTTGTTTATCTATATATATATACATATGTGTGCACAAATGCGGGTACACAACTTTATTGGGCATTGGGCGGCAGCAAAAGCCTCAGACACACTTTGGACAGAATGAGTCCTGCTTCAGCTCATGAGTCGGGAAGGCGATGCCGTGGGCAAGAACTTTTTTGACTGGATTTTGCACGATAATGAGATCCTTTGTCGCACTCTTGAAGCTGAAATTGTAGATGTCCGGCAGTTCATTGCCCTCCGACCGGCACCTTCATAGGTTTTGACTCAGGAGCAGGGAAGCAGTCCGATCCACCGCCAGACTGATTGATGCTGATTCGCGCTTCATCACCCGCAAGGTGGGGCAACTTGTGTACACAGAGGTTGGTGAACACGTGTGGGTGGGAGAGAGGTCCCAGCAATCCGCGCAACCAAACGCCAGTAAACTCCCAGACAGCTGATCCTGGTACTATGGGGAGGTTTCATAGATTCACAACTACTGCAGTTAGGCCATTACGCCCGTCCGAACAAACTGAATCATGGCGAGTTGAGAATGATTGTCACTGGTTCTTAGTGCTTCGCTGAAGGGGGTTTTGGGTCGCTCCAGGTGCCAGTACTTCTAAGGCGGGCTTCGTAGTCTTGGGTTGGGATTGAGAGCCGCAAGCATTTTGTCATGCCACTTCAGGCCTGGAGGGGTCTTGCTTATGTTTTTGTTGAGGCTGTGGTTCCAGGCTTCAGTAATGCGGGCCTTATTGAAAACAATTGATATATAACGAATGTTGACTATAGAATGTCCAAGGACTTGTCCAAGGTACCTATATAGGTTCATTTAGGTTCCAAGTTTTTGGAGCGTTGCCTCGGGCAGAGGCATTCATTCATCGAATCGCTGCACACGCGCTTTCCGTATTTTGATTGCGCAACTTTTGCAAGAAATGATCAAGATTTGGAGATGTGGTGTTGCGACATGTCCAAAGCCTCCCAGTGTTTTCCATCACATGGATTCGGAGGCTGAATGATGAGAGAGTCCAAGCTCTCCTATTCGTCTCGCGCGCCGTGTGGGGTAGTCGACAAATTGTGGGTCACCTAGTAGGTTCGGTTTTTGCAGAGAATACTGTGCTAGTTGAGACGTGAAGTTGCGAAATGCAACAGTTTGTCAGTTTGTCCATTCGTTGGTGGGTCGCAGAATCTTGACAGAGAAAGCCCTGGCGATTGAGACACTGAGGCTTGTGCGCTCCTTGAAGGTGTTGAGTCCATGCCACAACCATCCAACCAGGCACAGCGGATGGATGTCACTTCTGCCCGCCACTCATTCCTTTCCGACTTCCCCCCTTCCCATGTTTGTCTTTTCCATTCCTTTCTAGGTTACTCCCTTCTCCCCTCCTCTCTTCTTTCTGTTTGGAGGGCCCTCGCACCCTCCGTGCATTCGTTTATCTAATTGATCTTTGCCAGGCAACACAGCATTAAAAATGGTGTGTCAGTGTTTCAATGTTTTTCATGGATCAAGCTTGCCTGCCTGGCTGCAGGTCTCAGATGAAGCTCAGCTTGTGGCTTAGCTGGCTGCTGGCTGTGTCCAGAGCAGCACTGTGCACAAGAAACCTGCACTTTGGCAGCCAGAGCTCCGAGTTGTTCATCCTGAGGCCGAGCAGCCAGCTCCCAGGTCCCCAAATTGCAAAAGCAGTGGAGAAGGCAAGCCATGAAGATTGAGCTCAAGTTACTAAGACTTCAACCTCCGGAAACATGGGGTTCTTCATTTTCGACACAACACATCAGGGGTGCCACAGTGCCACGGTGCATGCACGGGGCTTCGTGTTGAGGCCTGCGAGGAAGAGTCGGACAGAGGTGACTTAGCTGGCATAATGGTATGGCGTTCATATGCTTCCGTGCTTGCAGTTACATCAAAACTTAAACGCATTGACGATATTCTGGTTGTCTCCAGCTCAGGCACCGTAATTACTGCGAAAACCGGGGTCTCGTCCATTGGTGGTGCTATTCCGCTTTTCCGCGTTGATGGGAGGAACAATCCTTAGACGGATTCAGGATTTGCTCTTTTTAAGCACTTCCGTGACTTCCGTGCCTCCAGACTAACGGATGGCCAAAGAGTACTTTAAGAAATCCCAAATCCCAGAATTTTCCGCTCGAGCTCCAAGCAAATGTGGTCCATCACAGTGCTGCAAAGAGACTGTTGCAAAGAGATGGCCATGGTTGCTTGGACACTGGCCATCATGCAGGAGATTTTAGGATGTGTGCACACGCTCACTCATGTTCCATGGTTCCATCATGTTCTTAAACTATCTGGAATTGTTGATGTTTTTGTGGGGGGGCCATTGCAAATTGCATCTATGTAGACTATGTAGACTCAACCCCCTCATGCACACCGAATATTGATACACTTCAAAAGGCTTGATTCGGAAACTGTTTGAAGATGTGAATGCTGCTTGCACAACTGCTCACTCTTTCAGGAGGGGTCATTCGGTCATGCATGCTCTTTTTTAAAGGCTAAGGGTCCAGCTATCGTAGCAGCTAGTCCGTGTTAAGTCAGCAGACCAAAAATAATTCTCTTGCATTGCTCGGCAGCAGTTTCAGCATGATGCCGCATGACATCAGAATGTCATGCCGACTGAACTGTGGTGGCCGGCTTGCACGGCAGCATTGTCTCTTTAATTTCGATGCTGGCAAGCATTTCAAAATGCTGTCAGGCGCTGGATTGAAAGCCCTGGATTGCACCACCAATGCTTGTCGTCCTGAGTCCTTCTCGACATGCCCAAGAATGTTTGACAGCATCTCATTGCAATACAGCTGAGCTGTATTGATGCGATTGATGTCCATTGTCCCGTGATTCTGTCTGCAGTTTTTCAAGAAAGATGCCAGAGGGTGGCCTTCGTCCAGAGCGGTACGAGGGCTGACCCCAGCAACGTGGCGAACATGCAGGTGACTAGATACAAAGCTGGACGTCAAGCACATGACACGGTGCCGAGATATTGTTTGTCCAACTTCAGCCCAGTTACTTCCAGCTGATTCACTGTATGTCCGCTCAGCAAGGAAATAGCCTTGCAGCTGGTATGTATCATGCTAGGCTGAAGTGTTCTCAGGGCTGTGTGGGGGAAGAAAAAGACCCCGCATCGTTCAAATCGTGCCCTTCCTTCCCGCTCTTTTTGTGTATATTTGAGTCAAATAGTTGAGCAATGGCAAAGCGCAACTGCATCAAACTGCAAAGACATGTGAGCAGACGCTTGCACTGATTGCCTTCACTGATTTATCAATTAGATCCAGAAGATTGTTGCCTCAGGCCGAACATTTTTTTGTCGAAGGCGGAGGGCGGCCATGCGAAGTTGGGCGACTTTGGACTTTCCACGGAGCTAGTTCGGGACTTGGACGGAATGAACTTCCAGTCCAGTTTTGACACGAGTGTTGTAAAGGAGATTGTCCAAGGATGGCTGATCCCACTTACTTGATTCAGAAAGTAACACTCTTGAAGCAACACGTTGTTTTGTTTTGAGTTTAAGTCCTTTTCTCCGTTTGAAAGTGACCTTTTGCGATTTCCGTCAGGCCAACTTGGCGCATGCTGAGACGAGCGCGCAAGTGCAACCCAGCACGCGCAGTAGTAGCCATAGTTGCTGAAGTAGTTGCTGACTATTCAGTTTTGCCACTGACTAATTTAATTATAGTCATACTGTATGGTCCCATAGGCTGAGACCCACTCATCCCTTTGTAAGGTCAAAATCGACAACACCAATCCACTGGAGCATGAACCTTAGTCATGCTATGCGCCACGTTGCTGCTTTAGCAACGAGGCTCAGCGAGTGAGTAGTGATGTGGTAGTGTGTGTGTGTGTGTCAACCCCTGTTCCTAAGGGTTTTGGTTTCTTGCATGCGGCTAAGTAACCACTTGTCCACGTCTTGCAGCTAAGTATTCACAGGCCGGGCATATACATGCATAGGCACACACACAACCCCCCCTACCCCTGGGCCTCGTTGCTACCCCACCCGCTTTTCGAGCAACAGAAGGAAATCGCGCTCAACACACTTGTGTGTCGGTGCCTTTCCTTCTGTTTCTCCTAGCTATTGCTAGCTACCCGGGCGGTTTAAGACAAAATGTCCCGCTCGCGCTCTACTTTCATTTAACTAAGTGGGCCTCGTAACTACACCTATCTTTCCTTCTTGCCCTCTTAGTCTGCTTTTGTTTTGTTTGCTTTTTCTGTCTTTCTAAGGCTTTTTAGGTCGCTAGTAGTCTTCACAAAACGCGCCAATATTGGCGCTATATGTACAAAGTTTGGCGACCGGTGGACACCAACGACGCTATTAGGGGCTTCTGGCCTCGCTATCAGGAGCCAGGACCTCTGACCTTTCTACAAGGTGTAAGGACGCTACTAGGGCCCCTGGCTTTGCTACTAAGGCCTCCTGGTCTCGCTACTAACTTACAGTCTCTCAACGCAGAAAAAGAGGCAGGGGGATCACCCACGGACTTGACTGGTGATCCAACGAAGAGGGTCAAGATCCGTGCTGATATCTGGCCTGATCAGCCAGACGTACCTGCCGTGATCGCAAGCTGTTCCAATCCGCTTTTTT